GATCTCTTCATGGTATTAAGTTGGCCAAAAAGTCTCGTCGCATTTTTAAATGGAGTATATCGCACTCGTCAAAATGACGAGTGTTTGTTTTCTTATTTCGCAATTATTGATGCCTTGAAAGTGTTAAATAGCCAAAATAATTTAAAACAAGAGAAAAATGTATTGTTAGAATTTTGATAAGGTTTACATATTGATCACATTAAACGCTCATAATTCTAGCGTTAAAGAAAAATTTCACTACGTTATATTAAACTTCATTGAAGTATATGTATTTTATTCGAAAACTTTATATTATATTTTTTAATTTATCCGTTTGCAATATTTATTAATATACTATGATATAAATGCCACCTTGAAAAGTGAAACAATACAACTTTTTGGCTATCCTAATAAATATATAGTGGATATAAATTGTTATGTATTTGACTAATTGTATAGTAAATATCATAATCGTATCACATACGAATATAATTCTCGTGTTTTCTTAGGTGCTTTAAAATAATTTAAAACAATAGTTCATTAAATAACGGTTCAATTAAAGAATGTTGATTTAACTTGTGAAAAATGTGAAAAATCGCGATCGTAAATGTTTAAAATGATAGAAGGTAGAGCAATATTTAAAGGGCGAAATTTAAATCTAAAAATTGAATTTTCTTTTTGATAAAACTCTTTTTTTATTAATAAGTTTCATCTAGAAGTGTTGCATATCTTGTATACTATATGGAATTAGTTGTCATGTTATAGAAAGTACAAAAAATTGTTCTGTTTGAAAGTTAATTTTGTATATAGACTTTAATTTATGTACCCTTGGATATTATTTTTTAATTTCTTTGCTTATTTTCATTTGTTTTTATTACATTTACTCATGACCATATTACGATGCTCATATTTCCTAGGCACTCTTGTGTATAAGCCAACCTGATCTTGCTATCTTACTGTATCATATACAGTAAATTCTCCTGGTAATCCTTTTTTATGTTAATTCTGTTTACATAGGTCCTGCCGTTTCATGACTCATTCGCTGCCTTATCACTATAATCCTTATTTACAAGAATAATGTCTTGCAGATTTCAAAATTAGGAATAAATGGACCTTTATGTATTTTCAAGTTAGTTGTTTCTACAAAAAAATTTCGACTTTAAGCTGTCAATATGGTGTACTTATAACTTTCGTCGCTTAAAAATAATTAGAAAAAATTTTACTTCGACAAAAAATAGATTTATACATTTAGTTTCTGTTACTTCTGAATACAAATTTGTAGATTGTTTAATATTTTCTTCTGGAAAGAAACTAACTTCCACATTTTTAATCGTTTGATATAGTGTTTGAGATGTATGGGCAATTAATTTAAACCTTTAAAATCATTAACGTAAATACGAATTAGTAAAATTGGAGAACACAAAGAGGTTTGTTATTTAATGTATATTGTAACGCCTAAAAGAATGTTGTTTATTTGAAGATTCGCTACAGTACTATTTTACGGTAGTACTCATCCACGAGGAATTATGAAAGAGCAATCGCGCGTTCGGGGGTCACGTTACGGACGAATAATGAGCGCTTGCGAGCAAACACATTATGTTCACACGCACGAATAATATGTAATAGGTTCCAGTGTAATTTTGAATAATCTGCGAACAGAGGAGTCCATTTGCCGCGGGTTAACAATGTTTATCCTCGCCGTGGGAGCAGCGCGGTTGTCGTTAATCACGATAAATTCACAGTGATTAATTATGCTTTTCGCTCGATTAGCTTTCCCGTATCGTGAGAGTACTGTTTCCGTCTCTTTCGTCGGCGGATCAGCCGAATCCGCTTTTCCACGGTTCTCCACTCTCTCCCTCTTATTTCCTATTCCCTTCTCCCTGTTCTCTTTTACCCTCTTTTGTCAGCGAATAATTGACGAATCGTTCGTTTTGTTATCGAACGATCGGACCTTCTGCACTCGTGCTTCGCTTCTATTTTACCCGTGCCCGAAGAGTGTTCGATGTAATTGAGAACTTTGCAGCAAAAGGGATGCAGCTCCATTCTTAACAGTTTCTTAGTTATGACGTGTATGGACGTAAAAAAGTATTTTACTTTGCTGGTCTTCTGATATAAACTTGATATCAAAATAAGCGATTTATTGCAAATTTTCGATTTACGTCCATTGCTGTTTTCTGAAAAATAATGTTATTTCTTAGTGTTTATAAAAATTGCTAATTCTTTCATATTTGATGAGTAAAACTATAGTGAATCAATAAATTATGCTCTTTGTTATGTGAAGTTTACAAAAAAAAAACATTTGAGTTTTGTAGATTTTAGCGCTAGAATTGGATGTAAGTTGGATACATGAAAATATGGATTTTTGAATTGTTATTCTCTTTTTAATGTTAAGTCGAAACACATTAATTTTAGAAATATGTTTTTCTATGGTTTACTCGAAGCAGGTACACATGGGATTGCATCCCCTTAGCTGCAAGGACTCCTTTCATTTGCCTTTTGTAATATTCAACAATTAAAATTACATTCTAATACGTTATAAATCATTAAATTAATTATACAGTTGGTACTATAAATTGAATAAAAATTTTTAGTGTCGTTCAAATTCAATAATTACATTTTAATTTACTATTTAAAGATAAAGAAGTATTCTATTTTGGATCTCTGTTCATGTAAAATGAAACTGGAAATTAAAAGCAAGTTTTAGTATTTTTGGCTATATTTTTTTTAATAAACATTTGTTACTATTATAATTAAATATTTTTAGAATGAAGTATTTACACGTTGTAGTTGTTAAATACTTTTTTCTTATGTAAATAAACTAAATATAAATTATCTAACCCTACAATTTATAAAATCTTTTGTATAACAAAGTTCTTTTCACTACTGTATATTGCAGTTACCTTAAAATTAAGAAAAATACGATCACTGTAAACGTGAACAAAATCGATGCAGTGACTACACCCGGTATTTTACTTTTTTCCATATAATACCTGAGCAGGTATGAAATACCGTAAAAAGCGCGGCATTCTTTGAGCGTTCGTAAACGTCTATCTAAAAAAAGCGATTGGCTTCCCTATTGATTACTGTTTACTTATTCTTTTGGGTTCGAGATTGATTTATTTATACATGATGGTCAAACGCTAACGATCGAAGCATGCTCACTTGTAATTAGATTATGGATGCCAACGTGTCTTTAGGGAATGTAACACGCAAAAACACAACATAATAAAAGTTTTAATGGAGAATAATAAAGAGTGTATATTACTACCAACTATATAATACTTTATATAAAGAAAATAAATACCTGTCTTAGTGATGGTTCTGTTAATTGGTATATAAAAGGTATTTATGATGCTTGTTAAAAGGAACAAGAAAGTCAATGTTCTTCAGTTCCTCAATGATTTTTAAGAACAATTTTGCTGTTCTACTTTACGTCATTTTTACTTTGCATTTTAGATTTATGAAAAAGGTACTGCTAATGTTTTTCTATATTATAAAATAAACATAAACATAAATTTTATTTATTAATTCTTCTGACATTACATTGAAGAATATCGACTATTTAATCGGGAAATATACGTGAACAGAATTTATTTAAATAGTTCAAACAATGTTTAATGTAATATTAGATCGTATTGCCATACAATAAAAACGTGACGTACCAGGAAACCAAATACACACTGAACATCGAACTCGCATTGAATAAATTCATAAATCGATTTTCTAACAAAGACAAAATGAAACTTTTAATTAAACAAATCTAACTTTAGAATATACATTATATGCATTTGTTATTTCTTTAAATGTTTGAGTATTTCTCGAAATTATAAATTGTTTGAAAATAGGGGTGCTAAAACACAACAATTGCAAAGTTTATAAAATGAGAAACTATTAACATTCTCTCACCTTAAAAAAGTAGTTATATAATTTATTGAAATAGCGTAAAGAATTACATACAATATACCTTAATATTAAAACAACCCCTTCCCTGAAATCTGTTGTTTATAAGATAAACTTTCCACAAATAATGCTACAATTTATCGAGTGAGCGTATTATATGAATTTTTAGTGAAGTAAATAATTTTATTACCGGTTTATTGAATTTGTTAAATGACATTACTCAATCAAAATTTTTCAGATTGTTAAAAATATATAAAACAACTTTAAATAATAATTCAATAAGTTTATACCTTCTTATTAAAAAGAATATTTTACGTTTTATCAATACATTCAAATGATTATATAACCCTTTGCTTTATAACAACGTGCCAGACTCGTGACGATTATTTTAAAGAGAATTTAACAAGGACAAATATTATTCAATCCTTTTGAATTCGATTATATAGTAGATATACAATATGCCTAAAAATTTGTTCTTTCTTCAATAAATTATTAATGACAAAATAGTTGTATCGATCGTAGTTGAGAAATACAACATAAGGAAAGGTGTTAATATTATAGTATCTTAATAGCATGATCAGAGAATTCATAAACAATATTTAACAAAATATTTCATCACGAATTCTAGTTTTTTCTCACAGAAGAATATCCGAAAAACTTGGGATGGTTCTAGAAAGGGACGAGGAACCACGTCCCTTCGATCGAATGTGTCATTTGGTACCTGGGTCACGTAGCTCTTCGTATTGACAGGCCAACCAGCCAACCAGGCACCCTCTGCTCTTCTCTCGTTTACTTCAGCCCTTGTTCCAAGCCTGGCTTTATCAGGCTCCAGTGGAACAATCGCATCTTTCCGTGTTGCTCGAGAATTCAGCTAGAGGATTATTATCGCCTTTAATCGGTATCTTTAATATCACTCCGAACTTAGCCAATTTGATCTGAAATAATTAAACAATTTAGTAGCTAGATTATTTCACTATCATTATTGTACATATAGAAACTAATATCTAAAACTTGTTTTTGGGTTCTAAATATTATCTAATGCGATTGTTTTACGTTTTGCATATGACGTGCATTATTTCTATCATTGTTTTATTATTTATTAGCGTTAATTTTGTTTTCAGGATTTTCGGTTTAGCAGTTATGGTAAAGCGATGAGCCTGCAGGCCCAGGCTCAAGCCCAGCGCCCTGCGAGGTACTCCCCTCAGGAGACCGTCAAGGTAAGATGTCACATCTATTTTTATATGTTTGTTATAAACGATTTAAGCTATAAAATTATTAAATTGCTTTTGATATTGTGTTGCTTGAGGCACATAGTTTATTAATTAAGTGGTAAACCATCATTATGACATAGTAGTAGCAGTTGCTGTATTTATTAGTATATTTTTTTATTTAATGATTTATCTATGTGCTTATACATATATACTTACTATAACTATAATATGTGCAATTAATATCTATACATAGAAATATAAGTTAAAATTCAATGAAAATTCTATTATAGATCAAAATGTCAAGGTTGATAACTAATTGTAAGTGTCGGTCCTGTAATTATGTAAATTACACGTGGCTATGCCAAATTTAGACACATAATTAGAAAACGTGACAATGAATAATTTGAGACGTTGTTTTGTACACATTGCTTATATGTATGCTGAACTCATACATATTCTTCAACTAATTTTGTGCATTATCCTTTCATAAATACATGTGGTACATATACAGTAAAAAAGAATTGTTCAGCTTCACCTTGCAATCAATTAATATAAAAGTTTATTTACTTGCTTATATTATATGAAAGTATGATGTATTCATGTTTCACAATGTTTAAAATAGCACAAACTGATGAAAGCAGTTGAAGACACGGTTATGGATGTATTAAAATTTCAATTTTGAGAAATCCTTGAACTGGTTATTACGCGTGGAGAAATTTAATGCCACGACGATTAAATATGCGCGAGTCATTACTGAGAAGGCTCAAGAGTGGAAAAAACCTGGCATTTCCTTGATCTTGGTTTGTAACTGCAGGATGCAACAACTTCTTAAATTAATTTGTTCGCAAATCAAAATGAATTTCAATAACGAAACTTATTTTATGCTTACACAGACTATAGCAGTACTTCAATTTAACGAGCTATTTAAGTAAAAATTTTATAATGTAATATTATATAAGGTTTATACATCGTCAACTATTATTATTAATTTCATAATTAATGAAATTAATTATTATCATAATTTCACGGTCGTTTATTGCTGAAGATTTCTCTTAATGTTGACAACATATAAACAGATATAATAAAACTTTTATATCTGTAACGAATAGTCTACATTATCAGCAAAATTATTCCTATAAGATACGAGATTACATAAGTGAATAGTTTGTGTAAAAGAATATAATACAGAATAACAGTTCTTATGTACAAATGAAAGAAATTTCATAATCTGGAACTATTCATGCAAATAATACATCACACACAGGTAAATACACATTCGTATACAAAAGATAAATAGAAAAAATGGTACTGTCACCGAGATTTGCATAAAAAAATTAATAATGAAGATACTGACAGAATATTTATGAAGCAAGATTTTGTAAAATCAAAATCATGACAAACATTTTGGAAAGGTTATTAGAAATATGGTAAAATACGTTGAAGTATGGTAAAATATAATAATTCTGAAAGAAGCTGGTGTTTTGTTATATTAAGAAAACTGCACTAATTTCCTGAAGCACCTACGTATTTTATTATTATTTGTTTATTACTGTTATAATTTACTAGTGTATATGGTAAAATGAAAACAGTCTTTAATTGTTAATATTGTATCAGATAGCAAAGAAATAACAATTATCTTAACAGGAAAATGGATTTTATCTTTTTTATGTAAAATCGCTGTTATACTTGTTCACGATAAGACTCGTTTCATTTAGTTATACCAGTTTCATTAGATTTCATGATAATCACATTTTAGGAAAAAAGTAGAACTGGTTTGCTAATTTCATCGCTGATCTAAGACTGGTTAGTTTAATGTTATAATGTTAGTACCACTTATAATCAAAGTATGTTTCCAGACTAATAAGCACACATATATACAAGATACGCATATATATATGAAGCATGTGCAAATTGTTGAATAGATAAAGATTTATTGCATGCTTAAAAATTGTATAACTATTACATTAGGTGGAACAACATTATATGCATATATTTTAGTAGATGAATATTACATGAAGACAAATTTTAAGACAGTTGAAATAATATATATATATATATATATACAAACTATAAACAATTTATTATAATTAAATTATGGATTCTTACACAAGTATAGATTTTTATATATACTCCTATCAAAATAATAATCGAATAAAGATTTCGTTCTCCTGTCAACGGTGTTATAGAAGTTAAACTCAAATAAAAACATTTAATTTCTCATTGTAATGAATTGAGTACTACCAAAACTGCAATAAGCGTCTAAAAAATTCTCAGTTTGATTGTAAGAATAAAGGCACAATATTCTGTGGTTTAAATATTTTCTCTTCTCATTATGCATTATGCTCTATACGTATGAGACATCAATTTTTCCAAATAACTAATTTCACAAAATAGAAAGTAAAATATCTGATGAAATTATATACGTAAAAACCAATCAAGTACTTTCTCACTAAAATTTGAAGAAACTCTAAATGTGGAATTAGTTAAATTAATTTGTGAACATCGCATACAGCGATTAAAAATATTTAAACGATATTAAATATTTATTCGATATCTTGCAAATAATCAAACTATCAATTCAGGAAGAAATTAAATTCAATTATCAATACATTTAAATAATCTACACACGAGTACTACTCGTTTTGCCTATGAAATAACTAAATTTCGACTACAAACGATATTAGAATTACCGAGATAGAGTATCAAATTGTGGTTGCTCGTTTTCGGTACAAATTAGACGTAGCACGTAGTGAGTAAATCGCATTCGTTTTAGCCGGTGAACTTAACGCAATTAACGAGAGCGCTCATCTCGCTGATATTGTCGCTACATTCGCCACAATTCACTCCTGTTCCCGTTCATCATTAGGGTTAATCCTATACGTGTCGAGTGTACACGACCTTGTATTACTTCCTGGGTACTCTGGATTCCGGTTTTCGAGAGGCTGGGGGAAAAGAGCGTGCAATTACACGTGTGTAACCGTAACCGTGAAAATGGAGATTGATTTTGTTGTACATTGCTGCCGGAATTAAAGAGGAGAGAACGGCCACGAAATTGCCGAAATATTTTAACTAAACGCATCTATTGCTTTCAACAATGAAGACAGAATGAAATTTATTTGTTTCCAAGAGATATACGTCGTTGAATATTTCGTTCTGAAATTACTGTTCCGAAATTCTACTAAAAGTTTTCCGGATTGTACGGTTTTAATGCATCGCTTAATAATTCTGTTGAGATATTACATTCTAAAATAAACTATATTTTTTCGTAATTGTTACAATTTTATTTTATGTAAGTATAGCTGTAAACACTTAGGATATTTAAGTGAAAATACTTTCAGTTGAGTATACTGTAATTTTATAATAACATTTTGGAATTGACAATCTATTTAACTATTTAATATTCATTGATAAACTGGATTTTTACAACAATTAATAGTATCATAATAATGAGAACGGTTTGGTCGTTAAAAATATAAGTAATTTAAACACTTTATATAGTGTTTAAGAGTAACAATTTCTTCCGGAAAATATTACACCTAATTTAGTTTATTTCGTTTTATGATAGGTACGAAAATAACAACATAAAAATAAATTACTGATTTGTATTTTTATCGCACTGCAAAATAATCTATAAAAATTCGAATGGCTGCGATAAGGGGAAAGGGTATTAATGAAACGTTGCGAATATAGAAGCAAGTAACAATACATATTAAAACATGGCAAATTCTCTGTCAGCAAAACGGAGGCAGATCTTTTCGGTAGTTATTTACGCATAGGCTCAGGCAGCAGTGTCAGCCATTTAAACTTCGAATTACCCTAAAAGGAGGGGATGATTTGTGGTTAATGACCTGATGTTATCAGGGAAGAATATCTCTGTGTTAAATGCGTGGCCGCTGAAGAACGGAAATGTAATTTCAGTGAATTGTGCTTTTTCTATGTCTACAGAAAACATAGAATGAAATTCCCTATGTTGAAATTAAATGCACTTTGGATGGCATGTTATACTAACCTTTTTAATTGTAACAAGAAATGAAACGTTTACTATTATCCTGTACTATTTACATTATTTTACAGTTAATAATAATTTAAAAAAAA